GCCCTCTGTGCCTCTGTGTCCCTCTGTGTCCTCTGTGTCCTCTGTGTCCCTCTGTGCCCTCTGTGCCTCTGTGTCCTCTGTCCCTCTGTGTCCCTCTGTGTGTCCTCTGTGCCCTCTGTGCCTCTGTGTCCTCTGTCCCTCTGTCCTCTGTGTCCTCTGTGCCCTCTGTGTCCTCTGTGTCCTCTGTGTCCCTCTGTGTCCTCTGTGTCCCTCTGTGTCTCCCTCTGTGCCCTCTGTGTCCTCTGTGTCTCTCTCTGTGTCCTCTGTGTCCTCTGTCCTCTGTCCCTCTGTGTCCCTCTGTGTCCCTCTGTGTCCCTCTGTGTCCTCTGTGTCCCTCTGTGTCCTCTGTGTCCTCTGTGTCCTCTGTGTCCCTCTGTGTCCCTCTGTCCCTCTGTGTCCTCTGTGTCCTCTGTGCCCTCTGTGCCCTCTGTGTCCCTCTGTGTCCCTCTGTGTCCCTCTGTGTCCTCTGTGTCCTCTGTGTGTCCCTCTGTGTCCCTCTGTGCCCTCTGTGTCCTCTGTGTCCTCTGTGTCCCTCTGTGTCCTCTGTCCCTCTGTGTCCCTCTGTGTCCTCTGTGTCCTCTGTGTCCTCTGTCCCTCTGTGTCCCTCTGTGTCTGTGTCCTCTGTGTCCCTCTGTGTCCCTCTGTGTCCTCTGTGCCCTCTGTGTCCTCTGTGTCCCTCTGTGTCCTCTGTGTCCCTCTGTGTCCTCTGTGTCCTCTGTCCCTCTGTGTCCTCTGTGTCCTCTGTGTCCTCTGTCCCTCTGTGTCCTCTGTGTCCCTCTGTCCTCTGTCCCTCTGTGTCCTCTGTGTCCTCTGTGTCCCTCTGTGCCCTCTGTGTCCCTCTGTGTCCCTCTGTCCTCTGTCCCTCTGTGTCCTCTGTGTCCCTCTGTGTCCCTCTGTGTCCTCTGTGTCCTCTGTCCCTCTGTGTCCCTCTGTGTCCTCTGTGTCCCTCTGTGTCCCTCTGTGTCCTCTGTGTCCTCTGTGTCCTCTGTCCTCTGTGTCCCTCTGTGTCCCTCTGTGTCCTCTGTGTCCTCTGTGTCCTCTGTGTCCTCTGTGTCCTCTGTGTCCTCTGTGTCCTCTGTGTCCCTCTGTGTCCTCTGTGTCCTCTGTGTCCTCTGTGTCCCTCTGTGTCCTCTGTGTCCTCTGTGTCCTCTGTGTCCTCTGTCCTCTGTGTCCTCTGTGTCCCTCTGTGTCCTCTGTGTCCTCTGTGTCCTCTGTGTCCTCTCTGTCCCTCTGTGTCCTCTGTGTCCTCTGTGTCCTCTGTGTCCTCTGTGTCCTCTGTGTCCCTCTGTGTCCCTCTGTGTCCTCTGTGTCCTCTGTGTCCCTCTGTGCCCTCTGTGTCCTCTGTGTCCTCTGTGTCCTCTGTGTGCTCTGTGTCCCTCTGTGTCCTCTGTGTCCTCTGTGTCCTCTGTCCCTCTGTGTCCTCTGTGTCCCTCTGTGTCCTCTGTGTCCTCTGTGTCCTCTGTGTCCTCTGTAGTGCTCCGGCGTGTGTGGCGAGGGTCGAACCGTTCGTCACGTTTACTGTAAAGCTCCAGAGGGAAGAGTCGTCCCCGAAAACCAGTGTCCAGCTGAGACCAAACCTCTGTCCATCCACCCCTGCGGAGAGAGAGACTGCGCCCCCCACTGGCTGGCACAGGAATGGGAACGGGTACTGGGCATTCTTTATGTACTGTGATCAGGTACCAGGCTGTTTGTGTCTGTGCACTATTTACTGTTTAAGTGAGGAAAACACACACAAAACAGAAAACACACTTTAGCAACGAGTCACCAGGTGCAGGTTTCATCTGACGTGATTTTTTTTTTCTTTCAGACACAAATATTATTCAGTCCATAGTTTAAAAGAAAAATCTGGATACAAAAAAATACACAAGGCACCCAAATGAGTCGATAACGTTCACTTTAACTCTTTCCCTCCTGGACGCCAACGAGGAACAACCCAAACATATATGACTAGAACTGCCCTTAGAGCATCAGTGCATAAAAGAAAACAGACAGAGATTTTTACACTCATGAACTTAATTGTAACACAGACATATTTGTATCTCTGGAAACTTTAGACTCTGAACTCTTCATTTCTGGATGTTTAAATGTGATTCAACTCATTTACAGGTTTATAACAGCTCACTGAAAATGAGAGTTTACCTGGTCAGGTGCAAAATCCAAAACAAAAAAACTACATTCAGCATCTGATATCTGCAGGTTCTGAGTAATATATTCATAAAAACATTAAAAATATACTTTGTCAAAGTATTTAAACAGATTTCATATCAGCAGATACAGTAAAGTCAAGTGTGCACCTGTTTTTACCTGTTGTTCACCTGTGTGCACCTAATTCATTTTTTCCATTTAACTTATTCAACTCATTTAGCTTATTATAATATAATAATATAATAATAAAACTCTTCCCCGTCAGTGGGAGTCCAGTATTTGTCTCATGTTCTCGTGCGCAGAGCTCCACATAAGTGTTTCTGTAGCAGTTCTGTTATACATCACATCTTGGAAAAAAAGACTGAAATATTTTAAAAGACTCGTCTGGGCAACATCAAGATTTCAGGGCAAGTTTAGTTCATAATCGAGTATAAAGCCTGGATAGTTTGTTTGGACATCGCAGGACTCCACACAGACGCATCAGCGACATTCTCATCTTCATAAGTTTCACTCTCTGAAAGTCCGTCGCTGTCGCTGTTTTCCACTTTATAATCAACTTCATCATCACATTGAAATCTATAAAAGTCACTTTCTCTAAACTTATCTATAAAATACATCCGCTCCTCATTATTTCTAAAACTGTGCGCCGCAGCGCCGCGATCCATTGCACGTGTTTTCGTGTTGTGTACTTCGATTAACTTCAGAAAAAATCGGCGAAAACGTATCCTTGAATCCTATTGGTCAGTCTAGTGTGGGATTGTAGTGGCCCCTGACCTACAAACAGTCTCTGTTTAAATGTGAAAAACTGAGCCGTTTCTAATGTTCGTCAAATCACGTCTTTAGTGAAACAGCGGAGGAGTCAAAAGACGTCATTAAGGAAACAAGGGGGTCGTCAAACGTCGTCTTCATGAGGGAAAGAGTTAAAGAGTGGCCAGTGCTTCCTCAGAGCAGAGGAGGAGCAGCAGGAGCTCGAGTGTGAGGACTGGTCAGAGTCTTTATGATGGAGTTTTCAGACACTTCTAGGAGCTGCATAAATGTGGACATGTCTAAGCAGCGGGGACACGTGGGGACACTCACATCCCCACGTGTCCCACAGGCAGCTGACTGGCACTGTGCCACCTGGGCATCTGCAGCAGCAGCCTCAACGCGACTGTAGGCCACAGTGAGTCTGCAGAAGGTCCCACGTCCATGATTCCACCTCAGAGGAGCTGTGTACAGTGGAGGACAACAGAACATTTAACATCATGAGAACATGTACATTTCCTCCGCAGCAGATTTGCCTGGACGTAGAGTTTACAATTCTCAGCACCAGCCCCCAGAAGATCTTTGAACACTTCAGATTTCACTAAGAAACTATGTAGAAAAAACTAAAAATGCAGTACATTTGTCAAGAGAATCAAGAGTCTTTCAGAGTTTACATAAGAGGACAGTGTAGTGATAAGAAACACCACATGTTTTTAGGTTCTTTTTTTCAGACCCAGAGTTTTATTTCATCCCTGACAGTTTGTTCTGTTCACTCGCGTCTTCCTCAGAGTCACGTGATGTTGCTGTGTCTTGTCTGGTCAGATGATTTAAACAGGTTTTGGCCCTGTCTTCCTCTCGGTGGAGGCAGGACGACAGGACTGTAAACCGGGACAAGGGGGGTTTTTTACTCTCACACACCTGGGATACTGTCCTGAGGAAGTGGGACTGCAGGTGGCGCTGTCGTCCTGCCTCCACCGAGAGGAAGACAGCGCCAAAACCTGTTTAAATCATCTGACCAGACACGTCACAGCAACATCACGTGACTCTGAGGAAGACGCGAGTGAACAGAACAAACTGTCAGTGATGAAATAACACTCTGGGTCTGAAAAAAAGAACCTAAAAACATAGAATATCGGAAGACAAAATGAATCTGATTGGACTAGAAACGCCACAGTCACATGTGAGCTCCCATCAGGCACCGCGGGTTTTAACGTTGAAAATGTGCAGATGAAAACTGACAGAGCAGAGCACACAGAAGCTCTGTAGATCTGTAAGTGTCTCATGTGTCTCTCGTCTCCGTCCTCGTCCTCTTCCTCTGTCAGTGTAACACGTCGTGCGGTCGTGGGGTCAAACACAGGGTGGTTCTGTGTGTGGGCATCAGCGCGGGAAAGATCCAGGTCCACGACGAAGAGTCATGTGACCCCAACGCCAAACCCGAGGACGAGGGCACCTGCTTCGAACGGCCCTGCTTCAAATGGTACTCCACCCCCTGGTCAGAGGTCAGTACTGCACCCTCCTCTACACCCCTGTCCCTCCTCTACACCCCTGTCCCTCCTCTATGTCCCTGTCCCTCCTCTATGTCCCTGTCCCTCCTCTACACCTCTGTCCCTCCTCTACACCCCTGTTCCCTCCTCTACACCTCTGCCCCTCCTCTACACTCTACACCCTGTCCCTCCTCTACCCCTCTGTCCCTCCTCTACACTTCTGCCCCTCCTCTACACCTCTGTCCCTCCTCTACACCCCTGTCCCTCCTCTACTCCCTCCCTCCTCTACACCCCTGTCCCTCCTCTACACCCTGTCCCTCCTCTACACCTCTGTCCCTCCTCCTCTACACCCTGTCCCTCCTCTACACCCTGTCCTCCTCTACACCTCTGCCCCTCCTCTACACCTCTGCCCTCCCTCTGTCCTCCTCTACACCCCTGCCCCTCCTCTACACCCCTGTCCCTCCTCTACACCTCTGTCCCTCCTCTACACCTCTGTCCCTCCTCTACACCTCTGTCCCTCCTCTACACCCCTGCCCCTCCTCTCTACACCTCTGTCCCTCCTCTACAACCTCTTCCCTCCTCCTCTACACCCTGCCCTCCTCTAACACCTCTGCCCCTCCTCTACCCTGTACACCCCTGCCCCTCCTCTACACCCCTGTCCCTCCTCTACCCTGTCCCTCTGTCCCTCCTCTACACCTCTGTCCCTCCTCCTCTCACACCCCTGTCCCTCCTCTACACCCCTGTCCCTCCTCACACACCCCTGTCCCTCCTCTACACCCCTGTCCCTCCTCTACACCCCTGTCCCTCCTCTACACCCCTGTCCCTCCTCTACACCCCTGTCCCTCCTCTACACCTCTGTCCCTCCTCTACACCTCTGTCCCTCCTCTACACCTCTGTCCCTCCTCTACACCCCTGTCCCTCCTCTACACCCTCTGTCCCTCCTCTACACCTCTGTCCCTCCTCTACACCCCTGTCCCTCCTCTCTGTCCCTGTCCCTCCTCTACACCTCTGTCCCTCCTCTACACCCCTGTCCCTCCTCTACACCCCTGTCCCTCCTCTACACCCCTGTCCCTCCTCTGTGCTCCTGTCTCTTCTCTCTCTTCTCTCTTTTGCCGTGTTTGTGTGTGTTTTTAGATCTTCGTCTTGTGTGTTTTTCTCAGTGCACTAAAACGTGCGGCGTGGGCGTTCGGATGAGGGACGTGAAGTGTTACCAGGGCCGGGAGCTGGTTCGAGGCTGTGACCCTCTGACCAAACCGGTGTCCAAACAGACGTGCACGCTCCAGGCCTGCCCCACCGAGCCTCCAGGTACGCCCCCCCGCTCCAGCGTCTCACCACTGTCCTGTTTTTGCTGCGTAAAACTCAACAAAAAGTCCTCGTCACAAATAAAACTGTGACTACAATTACATTTTTGTCTAATAAAGACTAAACATAAATGGAAGTGGAGGCTGGATCCAAGTTCCATTTTTCAGTCCCACACCAGACCGTAAACAAACTCACCGTCCAAGAACACGTCGCTCAGATAAATTAGCACGAGATTTTTGTCAACTAAGACTAGACTAAACTAAGGGCGTAAACCTCAGTGAAACCTGTGCTCAAAAGACGAAAACTCACCGCCAATGTTTCTTTTTTTCACACTGTCCCTGTGTGAATAAAACTTGTTCGATGGGCGTCGACTTACAAAATATCGTTGACGTCATATTTTGTCGTCGATGCATCAGCGCGCGCACACGTGAGTCTCCCAAAACAAACAGATCTGTAACACAACTCCTCACTGAAACTCATCTGAGCCTGAACCAGACACACGATAGGGCACCTGACACACACGAGAGGGCACCTGACACACACGAGAGGGCACCTGACACACACGAGAGGGCACCTGACACACACGAGAGGGCACCTGACACACACGAGAGGGCACCTGACACACGAGAGGGCACCTGACACACACGAGAGGGCACCTGACACACACGAGAGGGCACTGACACACACGAGAGGCACCTAACACACAGAGAGGGCACTGACACACACGAGAGGGCACCTAACACACACGAGAGGGCACCTAACACACACGAGAGGGCACCACACACAGGGACACAGACACACACGAGAGGGCACCTAACACACACGAGAGGGACACCAGACACACGAGAGGGACAACACACACGGAGGGCACCTGACCACACACACGAGAGGGGCACCGAGAGGGCACCACACACGAGAGGGCACCTGACACACGAGAGGGGCACCAGACACACACGAGAGGGCACCTGACACACACGAGAGGGCACCAGACACACGAGAGGGCACCTGACACACACGAGAGGGCACCAGACACACACGAGAGGGCACCTGACACACACGAGAGGGCACCTGACACACACGAGAGGGCACCTGACACACACGAGAGGGCACCTGACACACACGAGAGGGCACCAGACACACGAGAGGGCACCTAACACACACGAGAGGGCACCTGACACACACGAGAGGGTCACCTGACACACACGAGAGGGCACCTGACACACACGAGAGGGCACCTGACACACATGAGAGGGGACACCTGACACACACTGACACACGAGAGGGTACCTGACACACACGAGAGGGCACCTGACACACACGAGAGGGCACCTGACACACATGAGAGGGGACCTGACACACACGAGAGGGGACCTGACACACACGAGAGGGCACCAGACACACATGAGAGGGGACCTGACACACACGAGAGGGCACCACACACGAGAGGGGACGGACACACGAGGGGACGGGGAGGGCACCTGACACACAGAAACATTTCCAAACATGTTTGTTGAGTCTAAACTTGAGGATTTTCTGCTTTTACACAGAATAAGTCTCATAGATTCTCTAATGACTTTTAATTTGTTAATCTCGTTAATCACTGGTCGATTTTTCTGGTAGATCAATTTTCTTCTGCTTTGTTCCAATTGTTTGGACTGAAAAATAGTTTAGGCTTAATTTTTTTCCCCCAGTTTAAGTGATCCTTGTTGTGTGAAGTGTGCTAGAGCCAGAGCCATCCTCCTCTCTGTGTGTGTGTGTGTTTCAGATGAGAGTTGTCAGGACCGACCCTCCACCAACTGTCTCCTGGCCCTGAAGGTGAACCTGTGCAGTCACTGGTACTACAGTAAAGCCTGCTGCCACTCGTGCCGCGCCCTCCGACCCCCGTCCTCCTGAGCTCGCCACGCAGATAAGAACCACTCACTGACAGACGCGCCCCGTTTTACGCTCCGGTCTGTGGGAGGTGTGAACGTGCGGTGGTCCAGCTCCACGCGGGGTCGGGACTCTTCTGTCTCTTATATTATCTCCACACACAAATAACTCACGCAAAAATGTATTTGACAAAGGGTTTAAGTGAAAGACACAAGAGACACTCGCTGCGTTTACGTGCACGGAACAAGAAGACGCCTGTCCCGGTCCGCAGCCGCTCACACAAACAAAGAAAGAGCGAACAGAGGCGAACAGAGGCGACGAGGTGTTCACTAATTTAGCTTCAGAAAATAAAACTAAACACGGCTCTCAGACTTATTACCACACAGCAGTAGATAAATGATTTACATCTCATTTAAGTTTGATTTTCAGACTTACTCGTGTTATTTACTTTCAGCACAAATTAACACACTGACGCTCCGGTAAGTTTCACTTTCACTTTAACGTATCGACCAAAATGAAGCCACATTAGGGTGGTCCAAAAATATTTTTTTACATTCTCTAGATTAGAACCCTGCATTTGGTTTGGCCAAAATACTTGGGTCCAAATTTTATGCAAATTAATTAATATTTAGAGTTTGCTCAGGACAAATTGCCCTATAGGACATAAACTATAACAGAGAACTGAACAGGCGAGTTTCAGCTGACGTCATTGTTATTAAAAGTCCGCGTTGCTGCTGGGAAATATGTTGGTCGGAGGCAAGAAACACGGTCGCGTCAAACACAGTGTGTAACCTGTGTATTTCTCCCCGATGGTAAATTCCTGCTGCATTATCGGACGCACAAATAGAAGCACAGAAGAAGGAAAATGTCTTTCTCTCTGCCATTAGAGTGGATAAATAACCAGGATCAATAACCTTTACGTGTTTTCTCGCTCCATCCGTCATGTTCAATTGGTGTTTATTGTTGCCGACCAAAATAATTCCCAGCATGCAACGCGCGCTTTTGTCAACAATGAAACTCGCCTATAAATAAGGCCTATTCAAATAATGTGTCATTTTATTCTGCAAACACAAACTGAAACTTGCATAAAAATTACTTTAGTTCATAAAAAGTTATTTGAAAATGCAAAATGAGTCAGTTTCCAGGAAGCTTCGTGCAGCAACCTCTAAAACAGCTCCTTTTTCTTCCACATTTCTTCCTAAATCGTCTTTTGGAGCTAAAACCTAAAGCAGGTTCTAATCGAGGTGATCTGAAACTTTATTTTTTACCGTGCTTTGATGGACCAGATCAAATCGAGTGACGGACGTCCAAACTCGTCTAATATTTCCCTGTGTGTTTGTGAGCCGGTGCAGTTGAACGCCTCTCCTCTCTGTGACTCGGTTCAGCAGGGATCAGAGCCTCGGGATCTTTGAGAATCAATTCACGACTCCTCAGTCAGAATTGTTTGTGTTCCTGCATTTTGATAAATCATTTTGAATTGGACTAGTTCAGTTTAATCCGGTGTTGGTGACGTGCACGTGAGCGTAGAGACTGTCGACTGTGCTGCTTAATGCTCCGATTTACCACAACACCACCAGCGACCTCTAGTGGTCACAGCCAAAGGAGAAAAGACTGTTTTATATGTTGTTTTATTTGTGACGGTGAAAACAGTTGGAACAGTTATATTTGATTTTGAGATGAACTGAATACGGCCCATTTACTGAAATCAAAATCATGTATTTTCTGTTCAATTATTCTCCAAGTTTCCTGCGTTTGGAGAGAACAAAACTCTGGAGCATCTTCTTGTTTAAAGGGCCGATATCACACAGTTCTCCGCTCTGTTCTGACGTCGTCTCCTCGTCACACACAGACCTGGACAGTTCACATGTTTCACACACAAACCTGCACGTTTAGAGTCCCGAGTTCTCCTCTCAGACTGAAAACACTCTGTTCCACGTTGTGATGTCGTGTGGTGATAGGGGAAGCGCGCCACTGTGAATCGTTTGGATCATTTCAGTCCTGGAGTTGCCGATCTCGACTGAACGAAAAGGAAAAGGAGCTGAGAACTTGGAAACTACAGCTTCATGACATCACAAGGTGGAACAGAGAGTTTTGAGCTTTGGAGATGTGTGGATAAGAGTAAAAGTCGCACCATCCAAAAAATGCGTAATAAAGAAGAAAAAACATATATAAGTCGCATTTTTTGGTGAAATTTTGTATATAAAATCAGAGACCAAGAAGAGACACGTCAACCCTTCAAAGTGTCGGTCTTGGAAGTCTGCTGGTGGTTTTTGGGACATTGTTGTTGATGTTCTGATAGAAGCGGTTGTGTCGCATGAAGAGGAAACACCAAGAAGCTCTTCCTGCAAACTCATTTATATTAGTGACGGGCAAATGGAGCCGCGTGAAGCATCGACACTTCAGTCGCAATAGTTGAGTTTCAGCTGACGTCATTGTTATTAAAAGTCCACGTTGCTGCTGGGAAATATTTTGGTCGGAGGCAAGAAACACGGTAGCGTCAAACACAGTGTGTAACCTCGTGTATTTCTCCCTGATAATGGTAAATTCCTGCTGCATTATCAGACGCACAAATAGAAACACGGAAGAAGGAAAATGTCTTTTTCCTATTCCGATTGACAACAACCTCTAACGGTGAATTAAATGACTTTCAAACATCCGCAGAGCAAACGTAGAAGATCCTAACAAACCGTGGACTCAACAAGTTCAACAACACATCCAGACTCTTGGAGGTTTTCATCTTTTCTGCTGTGAATGGCCCAGGAGTTTCACCAAGTCATTGTGGATGTCGCCCAAGTGAATATTTGTCCAGGGAGTTGGAGATTCTGACCAGAAGTTTGGTTTGGTCCAGACTCTGTCGGGGTTGAAAAGGGAGATTTGTCGTCTGTCGATGTTTATGACCAATTTCTGGTCAAATGGTCTTGGGTCGTCTGCCGTTAGACTGGAGAAATAACCGTCCGTCATGTTGAATTAGTGTTTATTGCTGCCGACCAAAATAATTCCCAGCAGCAACGTGCGCTTTTGTCAACAGTGAAACTCGCCTATAGAGGCTTTGCACCGTCACGTGTCCCTATAGCAACAGTACCTACGCCGCCATGACACCAGACACACTATGTCACTGACTTCAGCAGCGTCGGAGAAACATGGGCAGGTTTTGTTGTGTATTTGGTTGTTCTAGACGCTCTGAAAGGGATAAAACGATTTGTTTCTTCACTGTTCCTCTGGAAATGACTCATCAGGATCAAACAAGGGAATTATCGAAAAAAAGACGGGAATTATAGCTACAAAAATAAACCACCAAGAGATTTCCAATGGTCAAATCAAGACAAACTCACGTCACTTTCATCAAGGTGTTTGTTATTTAAATTGTTTCATAGTTTATTTAATGAAAGAAGCACATTTACTGAACTAAAATGTCATTAATTTATCCAGGAAAACCCGCACTAGTTTACGATTCAAGAACCCACACTGGCTCCTGTGATCAACACGACGCACGAGTCGAAGAGTCTGTGAGCCGAACCTCGAAAGAATCGACCATGAAAAGATCCTCGCGAACGTTACAAAGATCCACTCAAAAAAAGTGATTAATTCTAGAAGAAATAGTTGCAGATAAATGAGACAATAAAGAAAACATGGTCCTACGACGAGTGACATGTTTATATGTGCTGGAACATACAGTTTCTACTGCAGATGTTTTCTTTTTACATTTTAGTTCAGTAAATGTGCTTCTCTCATTAAATAAACTATGAAACAATTTAAATAACAAACACCTTGATGAAAGTGACGTGAGTGTGTCTTGATTTGACCATGGGAAATCTCTTGGTGGTTTATTTTTGTAGCTATAATTCCTGTCTTTTTTTTCGATAATTCCCTTGTTTGATCCTGATGAGTCATTTCCAGAGGAACAGTGAAGAAACGAATCGTTTTATCCCTTTCAGAGCGTCTAGAACAACCAAATACACAACAAAACCTGCCCATGTTTCTCCGATGCTCCTGAAGTCAGTGACATAGTGTGTCCGGTGTCATGGCGGCGTAGGTACTGTTGCCATGGGGACACGTAGTCCAAAAAACACTTTAGAAAAATAAAGAGTTACTCAAACATGTGAATGAAACGAACACAACTCCAGGTCTGTGTGTGACGTGGAACAGTTTATAACACAACTTAACACTCACAGAGTCAGTTTTGTGTGATGTGGGAGCTTTAAACCGGAGGCGCGGGGTTCGGAGGAGGAGCGGTCGTATTTATTAGCTTTATCAGATTTGTGACGTAGGTTCCTGACACTTGAATTCGTTCGGACGTTTTGGACCTGTGCAGGTTTTTCTGTGCTGTGAGTCTCTGATACTTTTGTACGAACCAAGACCTCATGAAACAGGTCTGGACTTTTAATAAAACTTTTATATCGACACGGTTCAGTTTATTTGGTTTTCTTTGCTGGAGGTTTACCCTTTGCATGTGTGGGGTGAGTGACTTTAAAAGTGTCCTGTGTTTTTATTTATGACGTGATTCAACTTACTACTGAACTGATTACCAGAACTGAACTAAACCAGAACCAGAACTAAACCAGGAACTAAACCAGAACCAGGACTAACCAACTACAGAACTAAACCAGGACTAACTGAACCAGAACTGAACCAGAACTGAACCAGGAACTAAACCAGAACTGAACTAAACCAGAACTAAACCAGGACTAACTAAACCAGGACTAAACCAGGAGGACTAAACCAGAACTGAACTAAACCAGAACTAAACCAGAAAACTAAACCAGAACTTAAACCCTGAACTAAACCAGACTAAACCAACTAAACCAGGACTAAACCAGGAACTAAACTGAACTAAACCAGAACTAAACCAGAGGACTAAACCAGGAACCAGAACCAGGACTAAACCACTGAACCAGGAACCAGGACTAAACCAGAACTGAAAACCACTGAACCAGGAACTAACTGAACCAGACTGAACTAAAACAGAACTGAACCAGAACTGAACCAGGAACTAAACCAGAACTGAACCAGGACTAAACCAGAACTGAACCAGGACTAAAACAGAACTGAACCAGGACTAATCCTCGTGGTCGGAATTCCAAATATGGACCCGGGCTCCAGATTCGCCGCTGTAACCGCTGACCTCGATGAGCTTCGTTTGGAGCCGAACGCTGCGGTGACGTCACTCAGATCGTTTCTTTATCCAGTCCACAGCTGCAGCTCTTCAACTTTCACACATGATTTTATTTAATTTTTGATTTTCAGTGACGTCTTTGTTTTTCTTGGTTTTAGTGACATTTGTTATTAAACCGTTTCTGAAGTAAAACATTCAAATCAGTAATATTTACAATATATCTGGAACTATCATTCAGAGAGAGTCAAATGTAAAATCTGCCAAATAAATGTAAAATAAGAAGGGCCACAGTACAGAGCCTTGAGGGACTCCACAGTGTTTGGAAACACTGGATTAATGACTCTCCAGCCTGACAAAAGAATCACTTTTTCTAGACTCCCTCAGGATTCACAGCCACGTTTTACAGAAACAAACAACCACAAACAAATGTTTTTACTGGTTTGAAAATGTTTATTAATATATTTTTAATCAATAATTTCACACAGATTTCTCATAAGACAGAAATAAGTTTTGTAATAATGTGGGAAAGTACTGAATATTCTTGTTTTTAGACTGCTCTAGAAAAGCCCTTTTACTAAAAAACAACTTTAAATTTACTTAAACACAAAACACAAAAGTGCCAAACAGAAATATTATTTGTACAAAGCCCCGTTCCAATAATTCAGTACAAAACGCTTTTGTGAAGATAAAGTTCAAAGTGTGTTTCAGTCTTAAAGATCCTGACACGTCTCACGCAAACAGAAAAACACACATCAAAATAACAAAACAAATAAAACGGACTCACTGTTTCTCACAAGCGTTTCAATAATGTGACGGTCACGTTTCCGAATCTGAACTCAAACAACAGTCTCCTAATCCTCACAGACCTTTGACCTTTGACCTTTGACCCGAGACGGTCCTACAGACACCAAGCCTGTTGCCAAGTCCAGGGCCACGACAACTCTCTGAAACAAACAAACAAACAAACAAAACAATGAAGAAATGATCTCTGAGGCGACGGTCCCGCGACAACTGAGAGTTTGGCTGCTCTTGTGGCTGCCCGGCTCACACACTGAGCACGTTTGAAATGTTTTGAGCTCAGTTTTTAAACATCGTATCACATGATTTTAACCAACCAAGAAGAGCAGCGTGTGCAGCTCAAAGGACGAGTACGGGACTGTTGGAGTGTGTGGAACGTTTCCCCGTATCCATGGAGACGGCGAGAGGCTCACGAAGGACGTTTGAGATGCTGGAGGCTTTTGACACCGGACGTGGCAGCAAATGTGGCGGAGGAAACACCAGAGCGAAGTAATAATGAGGCCTTTCCTGCTGTGTTCACCCGGCGCCCCCTGCAGGCTGCGGTGATGCTGCAGGACCCAGAGGAGGGACACTTTTGTCCTGAGGGCTCTTCCTCTCCTCAAACTGCCCTGACACAGATCTGAGACGTCGCAGTGGAAACGTTTCTGCCCTAAAACTTGAGTTTCCCTCGACTCTGCAGGAGAAGGGAAGAGTTTGTGTTTAAGTTCAGGCTGTTTCCTGTTTAATGCCTCTGTTTTGTGCGTTAGTGCGAGGGTGAAAAAAACAATAGATCCTGTTTCTCAGAGGTGAATGAAAGAACAGTGCACGATTATTGCATAAATACTTGATAAAAAACAAATCCTCCTCAGCCTCAGTCCAGTCAAGAGTCTTAAACACTTTGGCTGCAGTTACATTTACAATTATGAACCGATTTTTGGAGCAAAAAGTTTAAAATGAAATGTAAACAGCAAAATTATCTGATCATGGTCCCTCTGATTGTTCACGTCAAAATGTGCCGTTTCCTGGATCCTAAAGTATCTTCAAGGTCTTGAAATCAGACATTAATGTGATTTTGGTGTGAGTTTGTAACAGCAGCCAGTGATTTCTCTGGAGCATCTGCAGCTTTTATTGTTTTTGTTAAACATCTGTAGTGTCTCTTCTCCCTCTCGATCAGCAGCTGGAGTTTGTTTTTTCTTGAGTTTATAATGTGAGTTTATAAGAGTTTAATTTATTAATATTATGATGTTATTAATCGTGTTGTTAGACGTCGGTGCTGACGCTGTGGAGGCTCGTCTCACGTTCAGGAGCTGGAGTTTGTTGGTCTTTTGTCTTTTGTTTAATAATGATCATATTTGATTTGAGTTGTGTCCTGGTTAGACGTCGGTGCTGACGCTGTGGTGGCTCATCTCCCTCATGGTGAGCAGCTGGAGTTTGCGGTACAAGGTGCTGATGTCCAGCGGCAGTTCCACGTGGTGCTGTTGGAAGGAGCGGTAGCAGAGGTTGCGTCCGTCCCAGGAGCACGTGGGGCGCTGGAGGCAGAAGGGCACCGGGCGCGTGCACGTGGGGCAGTAGTGCGCGCGACGGCACTGGGGCGGGGGCGGGGGCGGGGTGCAGCAGCCCGGCCCGTTGGCCTCCGTCAGGAAGGTGGGCGGGTACGAGTCCGGCGTGTTGCTGTGGCGGAAGTCCTCGTTTCCGCAGTGACACTCGGGGCCGTTGCTATGGCAATCCGGCGTGTTGCTATGGGGATAGTCGTGTTCCGGGAAACGCCGGTATTCTGGACCGTTACTGCGGCGCTCGGGCTCACTCCTGCGGTCGGGTTCACTGCGCCTGTCGGGTTCACTGCGCCTGTCAGGTTCACTGCGCCTGTCAGGTTCACTGCGCCTGTCAGGTTCACTGCGCAGGTCCGGCGTTGGGGGAGTGGGCGGAGCCGACAGAGCCAGAGGGCGGGTCATGGTGCTAAACTCCGCCTCCCCGTCGTTGTCTGCCTTCTCTGACTCCTCCTTCTTACAGCAGTAATACTGAAACACCAAACAAAAGGGTCAGTGACTCACCACAGACACAAACTGAAACACCAAACAAAAGGGTCAGTGACTCACCACAGACACAAACTGAAACACCAAACAAAATACAAACACAACATCAGTGGGAGCAGAGAGACATTGAGCTTCGCTGTGATTGGACAGAGTCTGCTTCCTGTTTTATTTCCTGGACATTGGTCCGGGGTCTTGTCGGTTTGAGCTCCCTGGCTCCTCTGCTCATGCACACGCCCCAAGAGCTGTTACAGTTTAAATGTCGTCGATTTGAGCTCCCGAGGCACAAAATTCCCTCCTCAATCGTGCGTCTATGTTTTTGAAATAAATGTTTTTTGTAATGTTTGTCTTTTCTCTGTCCTCGTCCATCAGGACTCAGAGACACGTCCTTTGTTTTTGACGATGTATAAATCAAACTGAATTGCAGGAGTTTTCCTGTCTTCAGTGTCTCCAGTGTGACAGAGGTGAGTGTCGCCCTCTACTGGAGTTTTATGACATGTTCAGATCTGAGGAAACGACTCTGGAAACTCACAGTGTAAATGTTTGAATCATGTTGTTTGTGCAGTGGGACGATTCTGGAGGAGAAATGATCCTGTCAATCTGTGTGAACTTTACCACGCACACATGAACCACGCACACATACACACTAATGAACCACGCACACACACACTAATGACCCACGCACACACACACACTAATGAACCACACACACTCACACTAATGACACACACACACACACTAATGACCCACGCACACACACACTGATGAACCACGCACACTCACACAAATGAACCACGCACACTCACACAAATGAACCACGCACACTCACACAAATGATCCACGCACACACACACACACACACTAATGAACCACACACACTCACACTAATGACCACGCACACACACACACTAATGAACCACACACACTCACACTAATGACCCACGCACACACACACACACACTAATGACCACACACAACACACTAATGACCCACGCACCACACACACACACACACACACGCACACACACTCACACTAATGACCCACGCACACACACACACTAATGAACCACACACACTCACACTAATGAACCACGCACACACACACTAATGAACCACACACACTCACACTAATGAACCACGCACACACACACACAAATGATCCACGCACACACACCACACACACACACACACACTAATGACCACACACACACACACCACGCACACACACACACTAATGAACCACGCACACACACACACACTAATGACACACGCACACACACACTAATGAACCACACACACTCACACTAATGACCCACGCACACACACACACTAATGAACCACACACACTCACACTAATGAACCACGCACACACACACACAAATGATCCACGCACACACACACACACTAATGACCCACGCACACACACACACACACACACTAATGAACCACACACACTCACACTAATGACCCACGCACACACACACACTAATGACCCACACACACACACACACACTAATGACCCACGCACACACACACTGATGAACCACGCACACTCACACACTGATGAACCACGCACACTCACACTAATGACCCACGCACACACACACTGATGAACCACACACACTAACACTGATGAACCATGCACACACACTAATAAACCACGCACATTCACACACAAATGACCCACGCACACTAACACTGATGAACCATGCACACACACACAAATGACCCACGCACACCAACACTGATGAACCATGCACACACACACAAATGACCCACGCACACTAACACTGATGAACCATGCACACACACACTAATAAACCACGCACATTCACACACAAATGACCCACGCACACTAACACTGATGAACCATGCACACACACACAAATGACCCACGCACACTAACACTGATGAACCATGCACACACACACTAATAAACCACGCACATTCACACACAAATGACCCACGCACACTAACACTGATGAACCATGCACACACACACTAATAAACCACGCACATTAATGTACCACGCACACTAAACACCACGCACACTGACTAACCACCACACACACTTAATGTAACACGCACACACCACATCAATATCACACACACACATGAACCACGCACACTCACACAAATGAACCAACACACACACAAATGACCCACACACACACACACACAAATGACCCACGCACACACACACAAATGACCACACACTAACATGATAACCCATGCACACACACACTAATAAAACCACGCACATCACACACAAATACCACGCACACTAACACTGAAACACATGCACACACACACACTAATGACCACGCACACTCACAACCATGCACACACACACTAATAAACCACGCACATTCACACACAAATGACCCACGCACACTAACACTGATGAACCATGCACACACACACTAATAAACCACGCACATTAATGTACCACGCACACTAATGAACCACGCACACTCACACTAATAAACCACGCACATTAATGTACCACGCACACTAATGAACCACGCACACTCACACTAATGAACCACGCACACTCACACTAATGAACCACGCACATTAATGTACCACGCACACTAATGAACCACGCACACTCACACTAATGAACCACGCACACTCACACTAATGAACCACGCACATTCACACTAATGAACCACGCACACAAATGAACCACGCACACTCATACTAATGAACCACGCACACTAATGAACCACGCACACTAATGAACCATGCACACTAATGAACCACGCACACTCACACTAATGAACCACGCACATTCACACAAATGAACCACGCACACTCACACTAATGAACCACGCACACTAATGAACCACGCACACTAATGAACCACGCACATTCACACTAATGAACCACGCACACTAATGAACCACGCACACTAATGAACCACACACACTAATGAAGCATGCACACTAATGACCCACGCACACTCACGCACACTCACATAATGAACCACACACACACTAATGAACCACGCACACTAATGAACCACGCACACTAATGAACCACGCACACTCACACTAATGAACCACGCACATTCACACTAATGAACCACGCACACAAATGAACCACGCACACTCATACTAATGAACCACGCACACTAATGAACCACGCACACTCACACTAATGAACCACGCACACTCACACTAATGAACCACGCACACTCACACTAATGAACCACGCACATAATCACACAAATGAACACGCACACTCACACTAATGAACCACGCACACACATTCACACTAATGAACCACCACTCACACTAATGAACCACGCACACTAATGAACCACGCACACTAATGAACCCACGCACACACACTAATGAACCACGCACACTAATGAACCACTCATACTAATGAACCACGCACACTAATGAACCACGCACATTCACACTAATGAACCACGCACACAAATGAACCACGCACACTCATACTAATGAACCACGCACACTAATGAACCACGCACATTCACACTAATGAACCACGCACACAAATGAACCACGCACACTAATGAACCACGCACACTAATGAACCACGCACACTAATGAACCACGCACACTCACACTAATGAACCACGCACATTCACACAAATGAACCACGACACACACACACTAATGAACACGCACACACTAATGAACCACGCACACTAATGAACCACGCACACAATCACACTAATGAACCACGCCACACCACACCACACACAATAAAACCACGCACACTAATGCACACAAAATGAACCACGTCACACTAATGAACCACGCACATTCACACTAATGAACCACGCACACAAATGAACCACGCACACTAATGAACCACACACTAATGAACCACGCACACTAATGAACCACGCACATTCACACAAATGACCCACGCACACTCACACTAATGAACCACGCACACTAATGAACCACGCACATTCACACACTAATGAACCACACACACTCACACTAATGAACCACGCACATTAATGTACCACGCACACTAATGAACCACGCACATTCACACTGATGAACCACGCACACTCACACAAACGTGTTTAGATTTGACACAACAAAGGTCTAAAGTGTGATCATCGTGTGAAACATCAAACCCACGACTTTCCAAACAAACATGTGTCATACTGTAGGGGTCAGAGGTCAGGGGTCAGAGGTCAGAGGTCAGGGGTCAGGGTTTATTGGATCTATACAACTGTAAACAGAAACATGAGTTTATTTCTTCGGGGGAGCGTGAACCGACAGACGTCACTGTGGCTTTAGGCTGTGGGAGCTCAAATCGACGGGGAGCCCATTTCGACAGGACACTGGCTCTCTTCATGTTCTTATTTGGCGTAGTGTGTTGGACATGACACATGTTTCGTGTTTGTGCGTGTGACGCCGTACAGCGCCCTCTAGTGTCGCGCGGTCGTACCTGCAGCCTGCAGAGGCACAGCACCCCCACGATGGTCAGCAGAATGACCGCAGCCAGTACGGCTCCGGCGATGACCACTGTCCCCGCGGACATGAGACACGCCCCCCATTCACCACCTGCACACACCGGACACACAGACCATTACACACTCACACACCGGACACACAGACCATTACACACTCACACACCGGACACACAGACCATTACACACACAGACCATTACACACTCACACACCGGACACACAGACCATTACACACCCACACACCGGACACACAGACCATTACACACTCACACACCGGACACACAGACCATTACACACTCCACACACCGGACACACAGACCATTACACACTCACACACCGGACACACAGACCATTACACACTCACACACCGGACACACAGACCATTACACACCCACACACCGGACACACAGACCATTACACACCCACACACCGGACACACAGACCATTACACACTCACACACCGGACACACAGACCATTACACACACACACACCGGACACACAGACCATTACACACTCACACACCGGACACACAGACCATTACACACTCCACACACCGGACACACAGACCATTACACACTCACACACCGGACACACAGACCATTACACACCCACACACCGGACACACAGACCATTACACACTCACACACTGGACACACAGAGACACTGGAGGACATGAGGGACGTGCCCAAGGGCACAATGGCAGTCTGTGTTATACCACCAACGTAACACATCCAGGACCAGACTCAAAGCCGGACAAGGATCCAGCCAGGTCCTGCCCGGGATCCAGGTCCTGCCCGGGATCCAGGTCCTGACCGGGATCCAGGTCCTGCCCGGGATCCAGGTCCTGCCCGGGATCCAGGTTCACATCTGCACCAAGCCTCAGATCAACAGTTCAACAGAGATTTTTAAAATCCAGTCCTGATTCTGATCTGTGACCTGACTCATTATTCACTTTAGTTTTTTCTTTTCTGAAAAATGTGAATTTTCCCGTCACAGTTTCACGGGTTTTAGAACCTGGATCTGATGTTCCTCTCACCTGTTAAAACACTGTGGGGTCATTGGTCCGTCTGCTCCTCACTCACACGAGCCGATAGTCCAGTTTCCATCCATCCAAAACTCAAACAAACAAAACAAAACAAACAAAACAAAAGTGTGTCCTTCTCTCCAGAGGAAAACCCACTGCACAAGGAGACGAAGTGTAAATAAAATAAAATAAAAATGTCTTAATCCAGCCTGAGCCAGTGCACACGCTCCTGATGCTGAGGACGAGAGAGAGAGAGAGAGAGAGAGAGAGAGCGCTCTGCCCCCCTCTGCTCGGGCTCGTGCACGTGAGCGCGTGCACGTGAGGGGGCAGGTCGCAGAAGCACTGTGACCTGCCTCCTTTAGTTTTTCTACCAAATTTAAGCCTGAATTCTGTAATCAGAAAATAACCTTTACTTTTAATATGTGAACATTAAAAAACACACAATAGTCTTGGTTTAGTCCTGGTCTAGTCTTGGTTTAGTCCTGGTTTAGTTCTGGTCTCTCTTTACTCAGACTCTTCATTCCTGTTTGTGATTGGAGAATACACCTGCTTAGTTCTCAGAGTTCAGTCCTGGTCTGGTCTTGGTTTAGTCCTGGTTCAGTCCTGGTCTGGTCCTGGTCTGGTCCTGGTCTGCTCTTGGTTCGGTCCTGGTCTGGTCCGGTCCTGGTTTAGTCCGCTCCGGGCCTCCGTACTCTCTTTGTGGAGCAGGTTTTATTGTGTGAATTATTGACGAGGGCGTTTGTGGTGATTCTTGTCGGGAGCGAGTGGAGCGTGAACACGAGACGTTAATGCAGCCCCCAGAAAAGAACTAAGAGCCCGAGATCCAGCGTGAGAGTCCTGAGTGCACAGGCCCGGGGTTAGACTCCCCCGTCCGGTCTGAGTGTGTGCTGAGGAGTGTTCATGGGCGGGATTGGGCTCCATGTACTCTGGCTCCAGGTCAGTTTGTGTGTAAGATCGTAGCTCCTCACTCTGACCTTCAGGTGTTGGTCTGAACCTGCTCCGCTCTCCTGCGGGTTTTTATTTCACTATTTTGTGAAAAAAAAAAATCAACATATATTAAAATCAAAGAGCCACTAAACACCAAAGTCACATTTTTCTCCTGATTCTCTGTGTAAATGGATCCGGACAAGTGGTAACAGAGGGAAACAGGGTCAGATTTTTGACATTCAAATGTGTCTTATTCAGAAACTAGAGGAACTATTGAAATAAGTAAAGTATCAGAATGTAGGAAAGAGTTACACTCCAACAGGGTCAAGTTAAACCTGTGAGATTCTTTCAAGTTCAACACAAAAAATTAAAAAACTCATGTCGGTAACAGAGGGAATGAAATATGCAGCACTTTTTGGTCAATAAATCCAAACAGTGATAACTCTTGGTTCTCACTTCCATATCCTTAACAAACTGGTTTGAATATTTGCTTCATATAGTTTTCTACCATATGGTACAAGATTAGGTTGAAAAACCTCTGACTTTTTGACTCATGAGATTTTTTATTAAGAAAGTTCATGGTAACGGAGGGAAAAGTAACGGAGGGAAAATTGTACAAACAAGTAGAAGGTGCAGGATTTTACATCATTTGTGGCTTTTTTCTTCCGAATACTTTAATATTACTTCAAAATGAAAGAAACTATTTCTATAAAATATGTCAGTCCTTCCAAACAAATTTTTTATCATTTTAAATACTTTTTTTTGAAAAATCATGTCCCTTCATCAACACTTCAAAGATGGAAAAACACAAGATATGATGAAATACAAACATTTATTTACATGATTTTCAGGTCTTTGAAATTTGGGAAATAATTTTTGTTCCATGTTTCATTCATGGTCTGTTTAAAACAGATGGAACTTTAGAACCAAAAATGGAACAGAAAAAAGGTCAACAGTTTGATAAACTCGAGTACATATGTATCTGTTCAATACATTTTTATATCAGATGAATTAAATTGAGTTTTTGGCCTTGATGTTCACTTCTGCTTGACCGGGACCAAATGTGTCTGAAATAGAAGTCTTATTTTGGCATTTTTGTGCAGATTTGTTAAAAAATGTGACTTTTGGGTCAGAGTCGTGTTTGTATCGGCATCTTTAGGATCAACTACGGTCACGACTCTTGAGTTTTAGGGTTGGAGTAATGGCGCTGATGAGTTAGACGCAGGTTTTTACATGATGTGGCATCGACCTGGCACCACCGGGCACCACCATGTCCCGCTGCGTCTGGAGAAAAGGAAAACACTGTCATCCGAGCACAAATGTCCGCACTGTCAGTCAGCTGTCAATCATGGCTCCAAATACTTCAGTTTGCTTTGATACTCATGGTCAGAATTCCAGACCCGGACCTGACTCCAGATTTGACGCTGTGACTGCTGACCTCGATGAGCTTCACTTGGAGCTGGACTCTGCGGGTGACGTCACTCAGGACTCTTCTTCTTCTTCTTCCCGTCTGTGCTTCAGCAGCAGCTGCTGTCCAGATCTTCAAGGTCACGAATGAAGTGAATCTTAATCAGACCAGAAGGACACGACTCTGAGGTCAAACACTTCTGCAGGAATCAAAGAGTCTCCAGAAAGAATCTGCTCATGAAACCAACAGGATCATATTCAATATTACATTAGTACTAGTAGTAGTAGTAGTAGTAGTAGTAGTAGTAGTAGTAGTAGTAGTAGTAGTAGTAACAGTAGTTAGTAGTAACAGTAGTAGTAATAGTAGTAGTAACAGTAGTAAGAGTAGTAGTAACAGTAGTAGTAGTAGTAGAAAGCAGTAGTTAAGTAGTAGTACTAGTAGTAGTAGTAGTAAACAGTATAGTAGAGTAGTAAACAGTAGTATATGGTAAGTAGTACAGTAGTAGTAACTAGTAGTAGTAGTAGTAGAGAACAGTAGTAGTAGTAGAACAGTAGTAGTAGTAGTAACAGTAGTAGTAGTATAGTATATTAGTACATATAGTAGTAGTATAGTATAACAGTAGAGTAGTTAGTGTATAATAGTAGTAGTAACGTAGTAGTAGTTAGTAGTAACAGTATAGTAGTAAACAGTAGTATATAGTTGTTGTAGTGAGTAGTAGTAGTAGTGTGTAGTAGTAATTAGTAGTAGTAACAGTAGTAGTAGTAGTAGTAACAGTAGTAGTAAGTAACAGTAGTAGTAATAGTAGTAGTTAACAGAAGTAGTAGTAGTAGTATACAGTAGTAGGGAAACAGTTGAGTAGTGAGTAGTAGTAGTAGTATAGTAATAGTGTAGTAATAGTATAATAGTAGTAGTACAGTAGTAGTAGTAGTAGTAACAGTAGTAGTTAGTAACAGTAGTAGTATAATAGTAGTAGTACAGTAGTATAGTAGTAGTAGTAACAGTAGTAGTAACATAGTATAATATTAGTAGTAATAGTAGTAGTGTATAGTAGTAGTAGTAGTAGAGTAGTAGTAGGAGGAGAGGAGGAGTAGTAGTAATAGTAGTAGTAACAGATGTTAGTGGAGGGAGGAGTAGTAGTAAATAGTAGTATAACAGTAGTGATAGAGTAACGTAAAGTAGTAGTAGGAGTAGTACTGTTGAGATAGTAATAGTAGTAGTAATAGTAGGAGTAATGTTTATGGTGAAGTATTTTAGTGAGTAGTATTGTAGGAATAGAGTTGTAGTAGTAACAGTAGTAGTAGGGAGCAGGGAGTAGTAGTAATAGTAGGTAACAGTAGTAGTCATAGTAGTATCAGTAGCTTGTAGTAGTAGTATCGACAGTAGTAGTAGTAGTAGTATTGTATAGCTAGCTAGACACGGCAGTTGGATACAACAGGTTAGTGAGGCCTGTATTAGTAGTTGAGATAATCAAGTATGGTGAGTAACCGAGTAGCTAGGGTAGTAATGGTAGCTATTCTACCAGTGCCTTCTAACCCAGGGGCTAGTCCCAGTAGTAAGTTGTAGTAGTGACTACTTACGTAGTAGTAGTAGTAGGGTAGTAGTAGTAGCTAGATCCCCACTTAGTAGAGCTAGTTGGTAGGTAGTAATAAAGTTAAAGGCCAGGTAGTAGTAGCGTATGTCAGTGAGTAGTAGAGTGATTGTAGTAGTAAT